TGCGGGTCCGCGGGCCAGAAGGCAGGCAGCTTGAGGGCGATTGCCGAGATGCTCTCGGATGGCGTGGGGTCAGTGTCCGGCATGACGGGGCTTGAGGCTGTTGCGTAAGGTTGTTTTGCAAAACTGGGTCACCACTGTAGAGTTCGGGTCGTCCCAAAGCGGAGAGAAAGGACGAGGAGAATGTGCTTGTAAACTCTAACTATATTTTATTTGCAACTTGAACGGGAGGACTGATCGTGGTCCCCACACTTCTGCCGGACGGACAGCATCTGGGTTCGACTCATCGGGGTCCCTTTCTTCTTTCTTTTCCCCGACGATGTCCTCCTTTCCGGTCTTCCTCGCAATGCGTCTCTCCGTCCTGGCGGCTCTCTTTGTTTCTCAAAGGGAGGCAGGCCAGGGAGAGATATCTGATTCCCAATAGTGCTTGCCGTAATTAAACTTGAGGAAGAAAACGAGAAGGGACGGACAGCCACAAACTTCCAAACGACGACTTCCAAACAAAGTTTGTGTTTGTCCGTCCCTTCTCGTTTTCTTCCTCAAGTTTAGTCAACTGATAAGTTCTCACACAAAATAATTCGCTCCAACAAATGGCACCGGTAAAATTATTTAAAATTTTTGATGATACCCTGGTCCATGGGCTGCAGCACTGCTGTTGTGTTAGGTGGAAGGAAGGCTAGCTCAATGGCCTTCGTCTCAACTTAGACCTTATGAGCCGAACAGTTGTCAACAAGAAGCAGGACTTTCCGGCCACAACGCTCCATCTTCGCTAGCCACTGCCCGAACAGTGCACCCGTCATCCATGCCTTTTTGTTGGCCGCGTAGTCCACTGGGAGTGACTGGATGTTCTTGAAGCAACGAGGACTTTTTGATTTGCCGATGACCAAAAGCGGCAGATTTTCAGTCCCTGTCATGTTCGCTGCAACCAGTACAGTTATCCTCTCTTTGCTTCTTTTCCCTCCAGTGCACTTGTCGCCTTTATTTGTGATTGTTTTGGCGGGTAGCAATTTGAAAAATAGAGCAGTTTCGTCCGCATTAAATATGTCCTGCGGAGAATACTTCTCCATGTGGCCTTGCAGCACCTCGGAGCGCCAAGCTTCACACGTTTCAACGTTTACGGCCTTTGCTTCTCCCGACACAGCACGGAAAACAAGATCGTAGCGCTCGCGGAGACGGTGCAGCCACCCATCTGAAGCAGCACGCATGTCCTTAATCCATAGCAAAAGCGCTTCTTCGAGGTCAGGATACTTTGCGGGCCGCATCCTCTTCCTTTCGTTGGAAACTTCTGCCACCAAGGCGTCTTCAATAACCCTCTTATTCTTTATGTAAGTAGATAGCATGCTTTTCGGTATTGCATGCTTTTTCGCAATTTCTTGCTTAGACAAGAGTCCGGCGTCCACTTCCCGCAGAATGTCACTCTTCTCTTGGAGTGTTTTGGCGTGGTATTTTCCGCGGGCACGCGCCATCTTCAAGTCGCAGCCTTGGGTCCGACGGCGCCACACCACCAATGTCCACCGAAACAAACGTTAGTTCAGGCTTCGCACCACCACAAAGAATCACGACAACCGGTACCTCGAAGCTGAAAACAGAAGTGCATACCCCACGCCGAACATACATTGGCAAAGGTGGCAAAGGCCCCGATTCGTCGGTTCTTGATTGCAACCGCAGCGGCAACACACTGGATTCGCTGTGTTTTGGTGCTTGCCGCGCCATCTGCCGCTCAGCAACAGCAGCTACAGGACAAGATTTGCAAAGCCATGCAAAGTCCTCGGCGTGCAGGTGCAAGCGTTCATCGTACCCGGGCAGCGTACACGTCGATGCACCCGGGAAGCTGAATGTGCACACTTGCACACTTGGGACAAGCCGCAGTCGATGGCGTTCCATAAACTTCAACTGGCTATCCCCGACGATAGCACCTCGGAGTTCCATGGCGTTGATGTCAGCATGCGCTCAAAAGGCGTAGCGAAAAACCGTCGAAATGAGTTTGAAAAACGGCACGACGGCGAGGTAACGTAACTATAGTAACCCTGGCGACGCCATGGAGCGACACGCTGGCAACCAGAATCATCCCTAGTTCAGTTATCCCTACGCGGCCTATGCGGTACCTACAATCCTGCAGCCAATCAGCAGAGGAGTTGGGGCTCTCCGATTAGGTGCACGCTCCAAGATTGGCCAAGGTGGTGTTGGATCGGCGCAGGCAAGGAGTCTCGGAGGTCACGTATGCGCACAATGGAGAGGAGGCAGCCGCCACTGCCTCCTCTCCATCTGTGCTTCTGGCCCCCTTAGCGCGCTCCGCGTTGGCTGTTGGTTGGCTCCGCGCCGGTTAAATTTTTCCCGATTTTGCCTTCTCTCTTCATTTTCTCCATTTCGAAGGCGACGCGGTCCGATCCGAAATTTCGCCGACCAGTAGCTGTCACGCGAGCGGTAGATCTACTCAGCGTACTTTAATCTTGCTCCGGCTTATCGCTTCAAATACGATAACTCCGTTAATCGTAGTCTGCTGCTTTGATATTGAGTTGTACAATATAGATAAACTCAAAATTTGTTGCCCTATTCCTCCGCGCAACTGCACGTTCGTTGCTTACGTACGTCATGTGGTTCACACATATAATTACTATGTCAAGCGCGTGTGGGTTGTGCAATATGCAGTGCTGGTCTGCATTTTGAGCAGCTGAAAGCCACTCAGAAACACTATCTTCAGAAACATATGGTACTTGCTTTTTTGTTCTCATTGAGGCTCACAACATTTTAAGTTTTCGCATCTTTTACACTGTTATCCCAGCTACCTAGGTCCTTACGTTCAACTCTGCTGCTAAGCACAATATAAATTGCTCCCGTGCTTGGCTAAGACACATGCTGAAGTGCAATGGAAATTGATTTGAGCTGCTCCTAGCCTGCTCCAGAATGTAGTTTTGGCTGCTCCCAACCTGCTCTAAAACAGCTGTTTCAGCTGCTCCCGTAGCTGCTCCCAAGTACATTGCATGCATTTCTGCGTCGTAAGATTTCACGTGTGGTCTTTCTAGGCGATACTGAAGAGGACTGCATTGTTTTTTCAAAACCAAAAATGAAGTGGAGTTGCCCTTTAAGGAGAGATTAGTTCAGAAATGTGACAGCTCATCAGATGCATATGATGCCAATGTCAAAAAAGTAAGCCATCCAAAAGAGATTAAGTATTCTCTGTATGTATGAAACAACACGGGCATGCAGTCTCCAAAAATACACTGAATCAGGGGTGGAAGCGGGCTAGAGCCTTTTGTAGCAGGGCTGGGAGCAGCAAAAGTCCCACTTTGGAGCAGTTTTGGAGCAGTAAAAGGCTCGCTTTAGAACAGCTCGGGAGCAGCAAAAGTAAGTTTTGTAGCCGTAGAAGTAGGTTTTAGACAGGTGTCTAAAAGTGATTTGTTGTTGCTAAATGTGAAAACGTAGCAAAAATATATGCATGCACATTTTAGAATAATTTTCAAGCAAAATACTATACATACCCTTCTATTTCTATTGCATTAAAATATGTAATATTGGCAATTTATGCAAAGGAAAGGCTTTGAGAACCATTCCGGCAGCAGGCAGAATCATGATAGACTTTATATGGGAGGCTCCTACAATAAAAGCACAACTTCAGCCACGCCAGTACAAAACCGTCTGTTTAATAGACCAATTGTAAACATGTATCCAGAATACTAAACCACTGCAAGGTGTCGATAAACTACCTTCGCTGACTGCAGTTTTTGTTTAATAAAAAATACACAAGTTCAATCATTGCTGAAAAAGCCCTATATCAAGTTTAGTAACAAAATACAAGGCTACTGACATTTGACAAAAATTCAGATGCATAATAAAATGTGTATTTTTTATCTTGAGAATACCACAGTCACTCGTACATATGCAGCTTTAAGCATCGACTAGAAGAGCAACGCAACCTTATGTACTCCATAAAATGTTGTGCATTGTGTGTCTCCATAAAAAAATTAAGGTACCACAACATGTTTCAAAATAAAGCAGTCCTTGCTGACCTGTTTTCATTAAATACAAATGTTCTCAATCCCTGTTCATAAAATAGAGTAATCCCTACACCCAAGTTAACATGCAAAGCTATATCTATATTACTTCAGATAGAAAAATATATTGCCTTAAACAATATCACAGCCACTAATACATATGCAGCATATACACTGACAAGAAGAGTCCACAGGCTTCCATGTTAAAAAAAAAGGGGGTTGTGACTAAGCTGAATCTGTGTACATTAGAAACAACTGAAGTTCACCTTTTTCACAGTTTGAAGAGCAGAGTCAATTTCTTTTATGCGCTCGAGTACTTTGAGCAGTTCAGAGTTCACATCACTTAGCATGAGGTGTCCACTCCCCACCTTGTCCATGTCCTTAACTGCCACACCCTTGCTTATGAGTTCTTGTGCACTCAGTAGAAGTGCTTTAAGAGAAGACAGTTTGAACGAGACTGAAAATGAGATGTAGCTGATCAGGCGCTGATCCCTGCGGGGCAGGCTGCCTTCTTACGTGACAAAAAGCCCACCAGCTTCTCTCTACCCAACCCCCCCCCCCCCAACCAGATACACCTGTACCCGAAACTTGTACGAGTAGAGTGGCTATAGCAAGTTAAGGTGCGTTCACGACAGAAATCGGCAGTGCGGGAGTGCTGCACGGCATTTCTGATGTAACCCCCACTCCTCCACGCTAAAGGAAAGAAACAAAAAGGTGTGCAGCACTGCCAATTAACCAACTCGCTTAAGATCGCGGGTATTGTTTTCGCCAGTGGTCTGACGGCGGGAGACAACACACGGCAGTGTGCACATTCGCGCACACAATGATGGTTTTGGTTTCGGTTTGACAAGACAGATTGAGCTCGAACGCATGTGCCTGTGCTCGCGATTCTTCACGGCTAAGCGTCCAAATATGGTACGCTACCAAATAACAGGTAAAACTAGTAAAGACCCATTTATTTTTACTCATGTTGACGCATGTGCATGCGCTCGGAAACAAAAACAAACGAAACTAACATAGCGCGTGTTTCTTAACTTCGTTTGCAAAGAAAAACAAACGTAACTAACATACTATGTGTTTCTTAACGGCTAAGCGTCAAAATATGGTACGCTACCAAATAACAGGTAAAGCTAGTAAAGACCACTTACTTCTGCTCATGTTGATGGCCGAGGTAGCCCACCGGTGCCGAGGCGCCAACTCTCACGATCACGGCAAATCGGGACCACAGGCAACTGCATGCACGCTCCAACCGCGCCAACCAACTACGCCCGAAACCAAACCGATGTGTTCGTATATCAAGCTCTTTGTAGTCAAAATCGACATCTCACTCTCGATGAACTAAAATCGACGCCTCGCCCTGCAGTTACACGTGGTTCGGAGCCCCAGTTGAGTTGGCACGAGTTACCCGCACTAACACCTAAACAAAAGTACACACCACATGGTGGCCAGTGGCCGACTGTTTTTCGCTAAATTTTGAAAAAATACCAAAAAAAAAGCTGAAATTGGTGTTTTGGAGCAGGCTGGCGCTGGGAAGTGGATTGGCGCAGGGTGGCGCAATTGGCGCAGCGCTTCCACCCCTGCTGAATAGAACCACAGGCTTCTACGCAAACAGCTGAATGAATGAAGACATACTTACTGGCTGTCAGCTTGCTAGCGATAGTCCCATTCATAGATTCTATGATGTTGGTGAGTTGGGCCTTCTCTTTGATGGCTTCCTCACAGCGGTGGCGCCAGTACCTCGCCTCGCTCCTGGCACGCTTCAGCTCTGACGCAGAAACGACATAGTCATCACTGTCGCTGTCCGATTCAGTTGCAGGACGACGTCGTTTTGTAGAGACCTGAGCAGTAAAAAAATTTGGACCATTGTGCACACAAAGTATCAAAATCTTGTGTTAAATGCATATTTATGGACCACATACCTGGACGGCACAGGCGGCTTCATTTTTTTTCCTAGAGTTTTCCAGATGCTCTTGAAGGATGCTCTCATAGGCAGAGCTCTTAGATGCCAATGCAGCTGGTGCACTTTCTGCCTTTTCTTCTCCTGTAAAAAGTTACGACAGTCCTGAAAGACTATGAAGTTGCACTAAGTATAAATGAGTGCAACATACCTGTTTGGATGTTTGCTTCTGAGAAGCAGGTGCCTCATGCTCACTTCCTTCTCCAGTTTCAAGATCTGAAGGGTGGATTACGGCCTTGCGCACCCTTCTGGATGCCCTCTTCGCTTGCAGTTCTTCTTCGGAATCTGTGTTACAACAAAAAAAAATTACTTAAAATAGTACATCAAATATTTATACAACAGAGTTTGGCACTCATTAGGTCGCAATTTTGAGATATATGAATGTAAGAACTTTGATATCCAATGCTACCCGTAATGTCTTTTGACTAGTAATTGCTATCTCTATATACTGCGCGAGTATGAATAAGTTGTCATCTAGTCGTCTATCGGTGCTGTTGCCAGCAAAAATGATTGACACATTTTGCTTGTTCTTTCTCTCCCTGCTATTTTGGGGTAAGAGTCACACTATTACCACGCGACGAAGCGAGTGTGACGCAAAATTACGCATTTACCTAGTGTTGGACAGTGAATTCCTCGCATAACAATTGTGTGTACACTGGCAACTGAAATAAAAGGCTGTCATCAAAACCACCAAAACTTGAGCCATATAAATACTACTAAAACACTTAATCACCGTTTAACGTAGTTTTTCTCTTGCACAGTTTGCGGTGCTGGTCTTTCCACATGCAGTGGGCTCAAACCTTCTGACGAACAGCCCGCGGATTTCGAAAGGGGCTCTTAACTCGTCCAGTGAGAAAATGCGGATTACGTGCGCATGCTAGTCGTTACGAGCAGTGTACATGTGACTGACATATTTGATATTTCCCATCAGTGGCTGCCTAATTAAATTAAATGACCGCGACCACCACGACCACCACGCGTCCGCGCATATTTTATGAATACGATCACGCCCCCCTAATTTTATGTATTATTTATTTGTAATAATTAAGTCTCCAAATACTTACTTGCCAGAAGCAGCACTTGCGAAGGATACGATCCAATGTTCTCGGAGTTTTCATTGTCCTCCCAGAACGCCGTGTATACTCCGTTCTTATCCAAGTCATTTTCGTTCACCGGATGAAAGTCTTTAATGCACCGCACCGGAACCACGTACCTCTTCTGATCAAATTCTTTTAAAAAACGAACTAGCGCGAACATCGTTTCGATGATGTAATAGGAATTCGCGGTTAACTAATCTCCACCACAAAAATGTTCTGGAATCTGCATCCGGAACACGACCAACTCTATAAAGGGCGACCAGGTCAGCTCTCCCCTCTCTACGGGAGCGCATGTACCGGAAAATACCACGTGACCACAGCTGGGGACAGCGAAATCCGCCAGGCGCCGCCGCGTATCATCTCCAACTGCGCGCGCGGTCACAGGCGACGGGCGGCGGTTGTGTTGATAAAACCCACGAGTTTGATTGTAACCTTTTCTGTCGACAACCGCATAGTTTTCTTGACATGTTCTGTAAACAGAGTAAAGTGACAGCGCTTTCTATTGCCGGTCTATTAATTATTTATTTTTTCCCTTTGAGAAGAGCTAAGTTCATGTGAAGCCAACGGAGACCAATGGGAGTGTTTGCTTATCAGTATAGCTATATAGCGAGTCCTATAGCGCGGCCACACGCACAGTCTTTTTTCTCACTTAATACGACCGGCTTTAGTTCGATACCTTTTGTGAAGAATGCACACACAGAAATACTCCAAATTTCAATAAAAATATATTAGTTTCGGTTTTAAGATCTGGCTCTTATCCGCTCATAAATTTTTTGCCAGGCCAGTAATGAACATACTATATTGTATACATGAAGAAACGTATATTCGATCTCTTGAAATAATGCTGTAGGAAAGGCAAAAGCGTAAAAATGTTTAAAATAGACCATTAAAATAGGCAGACTCATAACAATGGTTAAAATAGGAGAGACAGAGACAAGCTGTATATTTACTATTATTCTTTTATTTTCACTAGGACACAGACAACTATCTTCTTTATTAGTGATGGACTAACTCGAAAACAGTAACGAATACAGTAAGCAGTATCAGATAAACAAACGACGTCTAACATGCTCATAATTAAAATATACACCCTGTCAGCAAGTTCCGCGTCATCTGAAATTCGTGAGCTCGCAACATTAACACGTCAACATCATTCTTTCCGATGAATGACGGCTGATCCGGTACGTAGATGTATCAGCATCACTACATATTTAACTAAACGCTCAAAATGAGGAAGGTTATAATACAGCGTCCAACATTCGCAACACGGCGTGTAAAGGATGACGCTGTAGACTTATATGTACCACGACCTATTTTGTGTTATGAACATGAAGAGAACCTATTTTCTCTTTATGCTACATAGTTTGTTGGGTAACTGATTTGCCTTCTGCTTGGCAAGAGATTTTCTTCAGCCAGTCGTTCCGGATCTCCGTCACTGGGAACTCGTGGAAAGCGACCCCCGTCGAAATCTGCGTGCTCGACTTGCACAGCGGCACACAGCAGAAGACCATCACAGCCCGTCGTTGAGTTCCACTTTACCATTAACGTTAAGCTATTTTACAGCCCAAAAATCCACACGTCCCCGCGTGCACGTGCCAAAAGACAGCCTGTACTAGCCTCCCCAGGCTTCCCGAGCGTACTAAGCAGCGGGGATAGTGGAGATTCTAAGCAGCGCCAGTGGGAGCAGCGGTAACTAGGCGAACTAAAAAGAACTGAACAAGCAAAACAAAAAGCGGCGCGCTGGGGCAGGAGGAGGTGAGCTGGTCGCCCATTATAGAGTTGGTCGTAATCCGGAATGCCGACGCTGTGGTGGCTGTGGATCGGATTGGAATCGGACCGATGATTAGGCTTGAAAAATTATGACCACATAATCTACATCTAAAGAAATGTACTATTACAACTAGATCAAAGACAACAGAGATTTTTACTTGAAATGTTTGGCAATTATAAAGCATGTGTAAACGAAGTAAACGTAAGTTTCCCCCTCAACCAGTTACAGAGGCAATAGCCAACGAAATCCAATCCCAATCCAAAGAACTGGACAACTAGCTAGACAAAGCCAACAAAGCCACATTTGGTTCACGGCGAACGTGATTTGGTTAAAGTTCGGAAAATTAACATTGTTTTTCAGTTTAGTTGGGGCTGCTGGGCAAGAGTGACTGCCTGTGGCTAACCGGGCCGATCTAGGCTTCTGTGGACTGGACCGTGATCGTTTTGTGTTGTTTCTCGACTGGAACATGCTGTGAACGTACGACGATGAGCCTGAGCAAATTCAGAACTCGTAAGCGATATCTTGAGCCCGACGCATGGGATGAACCGTTACCAAGATCAACAGAACATGAGATAAGAAAAAGGGTGCTCAAGTCTCCAAGTGTTCCCTGTCCACGCCATAATTCGGGGTGCCCAAACCCTGCGACTGCTTCGACTACTCGTGGAGCATCGGACAGCAGCTGCGGAGATGAACCAAACAACCACTCGAGATCTGAAGGGAGTGGTCCGTCGCCCGTAGTTATAGACGATGATCCAGGAGATCACTCGGCTGCTGAAGACAGCGGTTCGGAGCCCTACGATGAAGACGAACATCACTCTTCAACTGATACTCATCCAGGCACCAGTTCTGCCAGCTCCCTGTTCTTGCTGGAGTTTGTGACCCCTCTTCGAGATGGAAGCTCCATGTCTGTAGGAGACGTCCTTGTCCTCATCATAGACATAGCGATAAAGCATGACTTGGAATGGACAACCATAGAGGACCTCCTAAAGTTTGGAAATATTCGTTTGGGAAAGAATGTTCTTCCATAGAGCAAATACTTGTTCAGGAAGTTTTCTGGAGCTTCACCGGAAGACATGCAGTTCCACTTCTACTGCCCTACTTGTGATCAACTGCTGACGAAAACTGGAGGAAAGCTACCAGAGCGCAACAACATATCGAGCACGTGTTCGATATGCGGAAAGCATTACGTTGGTCGCCAGTTACAGTCGAACCCGTTTATAACGAACTCCATCGGACACGCATTTTAGTTCGATATATCAAGTAGTTCGTTATAGCAAATATCGCTATTTCGTGAGGACGGCAAAAGCGAGAGAGATGAAAGGAAACCGCGCGGAATAGCGGCGAAGGCTGCCGAGCGTAGCGAGCCTCACGCCGGCGCTCAGAGCCGTGTTATCGCGAGGCAGCTTTCATGATGGAACATATGTATTCATATTTCTATCAATAAATTTCAATATTGAAACATATCATCTAAGAAAGCCCGAAAATTTCTAGGTAACAGACAATAAATGAACACGATAATTCCGTAAAATTGAGAAGGAAAAAAAAGTCGTGGCACTTACGACAGAGAGAAGTCTTTATTACCTGTTCTTTTGATATTACCGACAGAAGCTGGTAATTTTTGCCTGCGTCTTCGCTTTTACTGCGTCCTTCAAAATTTCGTCCTCGACGCGAGATAGCTGGTTTACCAGACTTAGTCCACTTCCCTGAAGCTGGGAACAGTAGCGACGGAGCACTTCCGTCGCTGCAAGCGCCTCGTGAAGCGTCGGGCAAGGTGCCTCTGGGTCCTCTGCCTCCTCGTCGTCGTCGTCGTTTGCTGAAGCCGCCACGACCTCGGCGACAATTTCGTTGTCTGAAGGACTGCTGGTCACTGCGACATCATCATCCACTCCGAGAAAATCTTCCAGCTCCACGCCATCCGGGACCGCGTCGGGAAGACGGCCGAGGTCTCTCCACATCTCGTTTAAGTCGTCATCCGTAACCTCGATTGCCTCTTCAGTACTTGCTCTGTCGTTATCCAGGGACAGTCCCGCGTGGCGAAAACAATTCTTAATTGTGTTAGGCGCGATGTCGCTCCAAGCACGGCTAAGCATTTCAATAGCACCCAACAAATCAATCTTCAGTTCTTTTCCCACACGCAGCTTGGTGAGCAGCTGCTCCACTACACGCTTCCTGTAACCTTGCTTGAAGGCACGGATGATGCCTTGATCTAGCGGCTGCAGCACCGATGTCGCATTAGGGGGCAGGAAACGAAGCTGAATGTTTTTTAGCGTGGCACCACAGTGATGCGCGGAGCAATTGTCAAGCAAGAGGCAAATCTTGCGGCCACTCTCGGACAACTTCTCATCCCAGTCGCGCAGCCAGTCCTCGAACAACACCCTTGTCATCCAGGCCTTTCCATTTGAAGTGTATTTCACTGGAAGAGACCGACACCCCCGTAGGCACATAGGGGCCTTGCTCTTGCCGATGATCAGTGGCGTAAGCTTGGAGCTCCCGTCCATATTCGTGGTGAGGAGCACCGTAATTCTAGCTTTGTTCAGCTTGCCGCCATGGCACTTCTCGCCTTGTCGTGCCAAGGTTCGACTGGGTAGGAGCTGCCAAAACAGTGCGGTTTCGTCGGTATTATAAATATCGCAGGGCCTGTACTGCTCCGTAATTGCTGGCCAGTTTTCGGCGATCCACTTCTTGACGCTTTCATTGTCGACTGCTCGACTCTCGCCGGCGACAACTTTGCCGACGATGTCGTAACGTTCCTTGAACCGTTGAAGCCATCCGGATCCGCCACTAAAATCTTGAACGTCGAGCAAAAAGGCAAAGTCTTTTGCTTTCTGCTGTAACATGGGGCCCGAAACTGGAAGGTTTCGAGCGCGAATATCCAAAAACCACGCGTACAGCGCCTTTTCCACTCTGTCAAAGGCAGGCGCCCGAATGCGCTTTCCGTCGGCGTTCGGTCGATCTCGGGACTTTTGCAGGATCGCTGGCTTGTTTTTCAGAATCGTACTCAGCGTGCTTCTGGCGATCTTGAAGGATGCGGCGACTTCTGACTTCTTCTCGCCGCGTTCAACGCGCCGGATTATTTCCACCTTGGTAGAGAACGGTAACGATGAACGCACCTTGGTCGCCATCTCTTGCGGGAACAGGAAGGACACAAAGAACAACGAGCCTCCTCGGCAAAACGCTAGGAACAAAAGAGCCATGTCCTGCCTGGTACGGCTGCAGGATGATGTCATCAGAACGTCATTGCACGCTTGCTCTATCATTGGCCAGCGCGCTTCCGCGGGGGCCGGTTGCGGTGTTGTGACTCATCTTCTCAAGGGTCGTGTTTTTCTTGGTTTTCTCTTGTCCTCTGTCGCTCCGTGCATGGCAGGGAAGCCAGCGCGCTTCCGCGGGGGTCGGTTGCGGGCGTTCGCAGTCGGTTTTGTGACTCATCTTCTCAAGGGCCATCGTGTTTTTCTTGGTTTTCTCTTGTCCTCTGTCACTCTGTGCATTGCAGGGAAGCCCGCGCGTCTCCACGGGGGCGGTAGCGGGCGCTCGCAGTTCGATATAACCGATGTGTGGTTCGTTATAGAAAGTATATTTCTCATGAATATTGATCTTAAAATTTCGTGTGTTCGATATAGACCATAATTCGTTCTAACCGGGTTCGTTATAAACGGGTTCGACTGTAATGGCAAACGGGAACTTTTTTGTTAGCTTGCCGCTGGATAAGCAATTCACCTCTCTCCTTGCGGACACTACTGTGAGAGAGCAGCTCTTGGAGTCATTGAGCCGCACAAAGGCACCAGAAAACGCTGGTGTATCGGACATCACCGACGGCTCTTTCTACAAGCAACAGCGAGAGAAGCTCAACTGCATAAAACAGGACCTGACGCTGACCATGAGTGCAGACGGGAGTCCGATGTTTAAGTCGTCAAACTACTCCATCTGGCCCGTGCACTTCACCCTGAACGAGCTGCCACCACACCTGCGCTGGCGCAACGTCATTTGTTCTCTCCTGTGGTACGGTACGAAGCACCCAAATATGACGCTGCTCCTTCAAGCGTTCGCCGACCAGATGAGGGAGCTCTCCAGGGATGGGATATCCTGGAATGCAGGTGGCCAAGATATACATTCAAAGGTATGTTTCTATGTATATGCTCTTGACACAGTCTTATCTTTTATTTTATTTCTTTGCATTACATTTTGAGTAGCCTTCGCCCGAAGGCTTGCGGCTATGCACTTATGCCAGGAGTTACTTTTTATTTCTTTTGTATAGCCTCTGGTTGAAAAAAATAAAGTCCTAACTTCTTCAATACAATAGACATCTGATATGGAACTACATCAATACATGTTTAACAGAATTGGAGGAAAAATGCAAAGAAGACCTTAGTACTTACCTCGCCAGTTCAGCTACTTCTTTTTTAAATTAGTTTCTAATAGCACTTATAAAATGTATTACATTGTTATGAAGTTATTAGAAAACAATTTCCATGGAACTATAAAATGCACCGAGCTATATTCTTTGGTGTCTCTTACTTTTTTAGGTCTACTGCATAACCAGTGTCGCAGACGCTCCAGCGAGGGCCTCTATGCAGAACTTGGTGCAGTTCAACGGGTACTATGGCTGTGCTTGGTGCTTACACCCTGGAGATTTCGTTGAAGGTACAGTCAAATAAGTTTATTCTTTGAAGGATCACTCTCAGTTGCTAGGCAAAGCACTAATGTTCATGTTTCACTGTGCAGGCAGCGTGAAGCACCCGGTGACAGTAGCTGTTGATGACAGGAAAGATGGCTTCCATGTTGTCTGATATGACAAGTGCAGCAGCGACAAGCCACGCCATCAACGGGGTTAAGGGGCCATCGCCTCTCATCAATGTTCCGGGATTCGACATAGTTTGGAGTTTTCGGCCCGATTATATGCACTGTGTCCTCCTTGGTGTTGTGCGTCAAGTCACCGAAATCTGGTTCTCGAACGTCGGCGAGGACCATTACATAGGGGCCCCTAGGACTTTGGCTGTGGTGGACCAGCGGCTCCAAGGTCAGAAACCGCACCTGTGCTTCAATCGTCCATTACGGTCAATTAAGCTTAGGAAGTATTGGAAGGCGTCAGAATGGGAGGCATGGCTGCTTTATTACTGCCTGCCGTGCCTGAGGGATATCCTTCCAGAGGAGCTTGTCGAGCATTTTGCGCTCCTTGTTTCTGGACTTTACCTCTTGCTGCAGAACCATGTCACGCTGGAAGACGTCGATACAAGCACTACCAAGATCACAGAGTTTGTCGTGCTGATGCAATATCATTATGGAGAAGCACAGATGACATCCAACGTTCACACGTTGCTGCACTTGCCGAAAAGTGTATTGTGTAGAGTGGGCCGTGCAGGCCCACTCTGGTCACTATCGTGCTTCGAGTTTGAGAACAACATGGGGCACCTGCTCAAGCTGGTGTCCTCTTCGAATGGAATTCAGTTCCAAATCTTATCCCGCATTCTCTTGAGGAACAACTATCATCAGTTGCGATCCATGGCCTCCGAAGAGGTGAGGAAGCAGTGCTCCCAAAAAATGCCTGACAGGGAAACAGAGATCAGGCTACTTGGGAAACCTCAACCAGCCTCTCAAGATGTGACAGGCTTTGTACTGGAGCACCTGACAGGAGTGGACAAAATCTCGAGGAGTACCATCGTGTGTCTGTGGGTGGATGCACCATCCACAGTGAACAGTACAAGCCTCTATCAAAACGGGACTCCACTGGTATAAAGCTAGGAGACGGCTATGCGAAGGTGGCGAATATAGCGCGTGTTTGCAAGTTTGGTGGGAGCTTGGAGCTTTTCGTTATCTCCCATGTGTACCAGGTCGAAGCAATGGGAGAGGTTGATCACCTAAAAGTCGCACACAAGACTGCTCAGAAGAGTTTGCATCCACTGTCCCAAGCCGTTCGCCCATGCATGTACCTGCAGATCGATGACACAGAGATTTTTGCAGAATTGTGCAACCGCTATGGTTCATTCTAAACAACCTTCAGGTTGTCTCCCAAATTACCTCTTTCCGATCCCCTGACTTTTTCAGGTTATCCTTGACTATTTTGATAAAATGCCTTGACCATTTCTTTGGTCAAAGAAGATGTTTGACCAGCCTCTTGGCATGACAAACCAATAGCCGCTAACCTTCTTGTGCTTGTGGCTCTTTCCATTTAATCAGGCAGTGGCTTTGCACTGCCTCGTGGCATTTCAGGCAACACTACTTGGCACTGCCATGCCGATACATGACAATCTGGTTTCATTGCACACCGCCACGCCACTTTCACTGGTAGTTCTCCTCCCATTAGCTAGCTCTTTGGGGGTTTCCCCGATATTTCCCTGACTTCTTTATGTTCCCTGACAATCTCGGCTTTTCCAGGTTGGTAGACACCCTGACCCTGTTGTGTCGGGGTAACAGGTGATTTCACATAGAGAGGTACCATTGAACATCCCTTCTTTATTTGTTTCATGGAAAGTAAACTTCAACTGTAGTAAGCAACGTCTGCCCGCATTTTCAACCTGCGCGTGAAACTGTGTCCACCAACCTAAAAACTTGTAATTAGGGAATTTCAGATCCCCTGGTAAAGTCAAAGAATTACCGGATTTCGTTGGCTAAATCAGGGAAAATGACCAGTGCAAGTGGCACGGCAGTGCAGAAAGAGACACAGCAGTCGTGCGTCGGCATGGCCGTGCCGAATATTGCCAGACATTTGATCCATCAAGCAAAGAAACAGTCAGAAAATTTTATAGAAATGGTCACGAAAAACCTAAAAAGTCTCGGTTTTTTAAAGTAAGTGTGAAGAGTAACGTGATTTCAAAGCGATCAGGAGCAGCACAAATGTAATCAACTGCCTCCTACAGTGCTTAATGTGCCAAAATAAATAGATTGAACAGAGATATATTAGGAATAATTTGGCAGTCCTGCACACTCAGGTTCATATGCTACACAATCACGTTTTAAACAAAATATCTAGTTGTACAAAGAGCATTCTCCAACTCACAAATATTTGTATCACCAACAACTACCTCCAAATTCTAATCTTTTATGAAAGATCTTTGTAAGTTGCTATCTTTTTACTTTGTCTGCATTCTTTTTTTTGTAGATATGGTTGGTTTATTTTGTTCTATATGAGATGCCCCCTCATTGTTACATTGTTCCTCTTGTTAACCTTAAATTGTATATATGGTAGTAATTATGCTGAAAATTGTCCTGGCAGAAGTGAAACAAAGATATACCATTCAACAAACAAGCAATGTGTTTGTTGTCATTTTCGGAATTATCTGTTTAGTTGACAAACAGAAGTTTTACTATCTCGCCAACTTGAAGTAAATATATATTCTGAACTTTGAAACCATTCATTTGTTGTCATTTTTTGAGTCATTACAAAGGTTTACTTGACAAACTGAGAAGGTGTACTATTTTGCAAGTCTGGTAAATCACAAAGATTTGCCAAGTTTGCCTTCGGTTAATCACTGTCGTAAAGGCAGAATTAGTAGGGAGAATCCGTCAAATGCAGTATGCCATGTTCTCCGGTGCTGATCTGATGATAGGAGTCTTTTCGCTCCTTCCATTGGCAATACCAAACAAACCTCTTGCGTCATGCAGAGAGCCTTTTTTGCTTGTTGTTAGTAGCTATAACTCCCCCAAAAATATGAATTCCAGACTTTTCTGTGTTGCAACATTCACTGAGGTTGGGCTTAGCATAAACTTGGAAGCAGTCAGGAAACAATTTCAGGGCTCCTTTTAAAGACTGCCAGAACGCTCACCTCCAGCATGTGCTCGTTTCCTTCACCGGACGTAGGGTGAGAGGTGCACCTGCGTGCTTGTGAAGTTCAGAAATCTCGTGCAAGAGGTGGAACTTTTCGAGCAGTCTTAACCTTTCACCGACTAGAGTAGCTTGAAGTGTACAAGGGATGACCAATGTGTCTACCAAGTGGGACCACTTCAAGAACCACTTGTATCCAAGTGGTCACAACTGGACCTCAAGTGGGACCAGTGCAAGGACCACTTGCATCCAAGTGGTCACAACTGGACATCAAGTGGGACCACTTGCATCCAAGTGGCCACAACTGGGCATCAAGTGGGACCACTTCAAGGACCACTTGCATCCAAGTGGTCACAACTGGACATCAAGTGGAACCACTTTAAATCAAGTGGGACCACTTGAAATCCCACTTCATATTTTCACCTGGGGAGGGAACACATTTTGAACGAACCTTCCAAAGCAAGCCCGCTGTTAAGCCTCCCTTTTCATTGCGGAACAAGACCGCGGCCGTTTTGGCTAGCCTTGAGACAAACCCACCTGTTGCTCAGCTTCTGGGAACAGTGGCACCATGGGAACATGGTCTGCTCATCACAAACTTGTCACTTACTGAGTACACTAAGAAAAATACCCCACCAGAAGTCTTAAAACAGGAATTCTTTGAGCTACAAAATACATATAAAGACTACACCAGCTTTTATACCGACGGAACAAAAACCGATTCTTGTGTCGGCTGTTCCGTGATTGGACCATCACTTAAATGTGTGCGGAGAATTAATTCCAGTGCAACTATCTTGACTGCTGAATTATACGGTTTACTATTGGCCACAGACTATATTATCAAAAATAGGCATCCATACTCTGTAGTTTACACTGATTCACTAAGTGCTCTGAGAGCACTCAGA